TATAGGGACTGTAATGTTGTTCTTTTTTCAAACTTTTCCTTTGAAGTTTTAAAATAACTCAAATCTGAATTTATATGAGCACTATGTTTCGCCTTCAATGCGCCTCAAGACGACCTCGTTTCATTAATTCATTGGTCAAGCATTGCTGGCATAAAAGACAAAACGGCATCCGCTCATCGTGAACAGCGGGTATGAACCCAAATTTTGAATATTCCTCCGAATATTGACGAGTTTTTTGCTTCTTTTTTCAAGTCATTTTATTACGAACGAATATAAATCAATTAAAAAAACAATATGTAGGAGTCTAAACGGAAAACAAGGTACGGGGATTCGAATCCACGATCCTCGGATCCACAGTCGACCGCTTTACCTACGCGACCAATCCCGTACCCTACGTTTCGTGTTCTCCTTTGACTCCTTATTGTTGGGTATGGGAGGCGCGGATACTACAAATATAATAAAATATGTGTTAAAATTAATTCAATATGACAGAATAAACGTACGCGCAGAGAAACATATTTATTTACATGTATATAATACATGACCGATATTTTTTTTTCACTTGACAAAAGTTTCTGGAAAGTTAAATGCTTTTAAAATTAAAATAAATGTAAATTAAATCAAATACTTACCAATTATATCTATACAATATATATAAATATATTTGTTAAATCAACGATTAATTGACGGACACTTATTTCAAATTAACACCAACTGAATGATGTGAAACACTACAGAAGTTGAGTTGGGCTAATTAGGTGCGAACAACGGCGTTGTTTAGCGAGTTTTAAAACATCCGGCGTTGTTTAGCGAGTTTTAAAACATCCGGCGTTCCCCGCGACTGCCGGCACACTCCGTGGTGAATCCCCGATGAACAGGGGCGGACTGGCGAGTTCGGACTGGTTCGGTGATTTCACCTGAACGCGGCCCTATTTGGGGGGAGGGGGAGGGGGTAAATTTTCACTTCTTTACGTATTTTATTATCATACACAAAATGTGCATTTCAATAATGCACAAAATATTTGTTTTAAATTAAAAAAAATTTGTCAACCCTGGCCGGCCCATTACTTGACCGGCTCACCGGTGATTGCACTGATAGGCTTATATGGCCAGTCCGTCCCTGCCGACGAAGTTTTCTTGACGACTCTAATTATTCAGTTGATATTTTGGCAACGTCAAACGAAATTATACCTAATAATTATTTACTATATTACTATTATAATTAAATAATCCAAAGCGAAAGGGTTAAAGTCGTGTCGAGTCCATTTTTAAATTGTCCCCCTTAACTATCAAATGCCCCCTTGTGGGGCGTGGGCCTCACGTTGGGAAACACTGGTCTAAAGAGTCTCAGTTTGTAGATGATACGCTATTTAGCTCCTTCATGTCACCGCTAAAGTGTGGAGCAGTCAGTTAACATGAGTTGCCATTAGTGTCCGAACGTCTGCACTGTTGAACACAGCATTTTAGCTGCGCATACTTGGAAAGCACCGAATTTTACATTGTGTTACACAGTGTCGTCTTTGCACTTTATTGGAAAAGACTTTCATGTACTGGCAGCTCATTTTGATTTCACATCTTTTTTTACTTTCTTAAATTTTTTAGGGGGATCTTCTATTTTTCTATGATTACTCTTTAAGTCCTGCACTTTTTCATGTACTTGGCGTAATTTTTTTACTTTTTTGAAGTTTTTTATCGGGATATTTGCTACGGCACACAGTTTCCTTCGATGCATGTCATGTTACTTGTTCACGTACGAGCGCGTAGCCCTCGCTACTGCGGGCGCTCCACCGGTATATGCGCGCCCTGATTGGTCAGGGTTTTCTGTTAATATCTCCTTAACGAAGCCTTAGATAACATTTTCGCTAAGAAAAAAGTGTTTCAAATCACCTCCCGAACCAACCCTTTCAAGGTGTTATATCATTTTTGGGATACCCTGTATAAGTAGGCACAGGATTATTTACGTATAAAAGTAAATTGAAAATGGTTTGTATGGAAAGTGTTTTCTGTAATTCTTCATATTTGAGAGATCCAAGTTTGAAAATTCTTTGTGTACACATACATAGTCCAACTAAGCAAGAGTTAAATATGAGCGGTTCCACTGGGTAAGTGTGAATACCAATAATTTGAACATCATTCTTGAATATCCAACTGCAGCTGAAACAATATCGCTATGGGTGTCCAATACACTCATTATGTTCTACATATTCATGGTTAACGTATCAAACCATTGCAAAAGCATTGTTTATACCGAGAGTAAAGAAACAAAACTGATGGTACCTTATAATACACGATATTGAGAATATTTATGTAGAAAGATAGTTAAGTGCACTTGTATTTTGGAAGCCTTTAATCTTATTTGTCTTGAAAATGAAGTTCTGTATGGACGAACTCTCATCTACACTGCTTCAAACAATTAGCGGGACACTTGGGGGTGAACCACCCCTACCTCTGCTCTCACCCCTTCATCTCCGTGGGCAGTTTTCGAAACGGAACCTTTTCGGCATTCATCTTTAACGTATCAAGAACAAACATGGTGAATTTCATTGTTCTCCGATGTGTGGAAGTGCTCCCTTATGAAGAGGGGTTTGTCCGAGAGGGATTTCAAGGGGTGCATTTTGTAGAGGGCATCAAGGAGAGTCGCTCCAAAGGTGTTTTTGAATTTTTCAACCCCTTCCGTAATCCCTGGCCGGTTTCAAAGACGCGTTTTTCTACACCCTCCCCTTTAGGGGGGTAAATGAACCCCTTCGCGCCAATGCAACTTTACACACGTCTAGGGGACACTTTAAAAGTACTCCTCACGGAGTTTCATTTCAATCGGTTGAAAACTCCCATAGTTACGACGGTTTGAAAAAGTGTCCCGCTAATTGTTTGAAGCAGTTTAGATCCTGTGAATAGAGTAATTTCCACATTCAAGTAACAAGTAATTTCATCTACCAAAGTCGATTGACATTTTTGTCTTCGTCATTGCACCTTGTTTGACCTAAAACTTGGTCTCAATTTAGATTAGTCTTAATTGTGGAGAAAAAAAATCACTTCCAAATTCTAAAAATAGAGAAGTACCGTACTAAATAAAGAAGTGCACAAATTTATTGATAAATAAATTTTAATTAAAAGCGTACCGATTTTTGTACCAATGCAATTTTGACTCTTGGCTTAACACTTCCTTCTTCGTCGTGGGTACTTCCTCGCAGGGCCATTTGGAGCCATTCGTGTGTAAATACAATTAGGGTCATTCCATGCCACTTCGGACATTTTTTGGAGTAACATCTCAGATTTTGACAAAATTTGGATATGTGTAGTATTTAGAGATATTTGAACGGTGTATTTTGAAAAATATTGGAAATTGTCGGGTTTACAGCTTTTCAGTTTTGTACTGCCTTTAAAAATGTATATATACATATTTAGCTACTGAACTAGGCAACGGATAAAAGTGACCTTTTACTTGCTTATAGTGAAGACATGGAAGTACCAAAGAAAAATTACTTCAGACCATTTTTTTTTTTAATTGTTTCAGACAAATGCCTTGTTCTTATACCGGGCAAGTATTTAAAAATCTAAAAAAAAAAAAAAAATGAGTTTATAGCCTCATTTTTCCTCTTTCTGATGGTACCTATAAAAAGGTGGACAAATTTAAATTGGCTGAATGAAAATTGATTGAAGGAAATACTCCATCGAAGCGCGTCGGTCCGAAGTGGCGCGTGGCAGGCTCAGTCGTGTCAGCCATTGCTCTGTAGGGCCTGTGATCGTGCAAGGAGTAATACAGCTAATAAATATTAAAATCTCACTTTTTGTCAATGACTCTTATTGTTGAAGATAAGTTGCCACAGTTCAATGAAAACCACGAGAACGTGGTAAGTATTCTTCCTTTGGGATAGGATGGAATTTGACAGGATTAGGTTATTGGAGAAATATTTTATCACATCATAATGGTCATTTGATTGAACGAATCATTGATAATATTATTATTTATTTTATAATTTTAATAATTTGTGATTTTTTACTATAGAAATAAATTTTAGTTGATAAATGGGATACTATGTCTGTCAGTACAAATGAATAACAATTTCTCGTTCAGCGAATGGTTTCTGCAAGTTCACGACTTTCTCTTAATAATTGTGAATGATCTTTATATTCTTGTATTTAGTTAAATTGAAAATTAATTTTCAATCAGCTAGATCAATCATTTTTCATTCGGCCAATTTAAATTTGCCCATCTTTTTAGAGGTACCACCAGAAAGAGAAAAAGTCGGGCTATGTAGTCAGTTTTTTTAGATTTTTAAATACTTGCCCTGTATAAGAACAAGGCATTTGTTTAAAACAATTTAAAAAGAAATGGTCAGAAAACTTCCTTTGTTCTAAAATAATTTTTATTTGATGCATCCATGTCTTCGCTATAAGCACGTAAAAGGTCATTTTTATCCGTTGCCTAGTTCAATAGCTATATTTTTTAAAAATAAATATAACACAAAACTTTGAACAGCTGTAAAATTGATAATATCCAAAATTTTTTAAAATGCTTTGAGATAGGTTCAAATATCTCTAAAGACTACAACATATCCAAATTTCGTAAAAATATGAGATGTTATCCCAAAAAGTGTTCGAGTTGGCATGGAATGGCCCAATAGTAGGCTACACCTCAAAAGAAAAGTTACTACCTACTGGCAGTCCTGATTTGACTATTCGAAAATGGGAATTATCGTACTTTTCGGAATTGCTGGTTATAATAAAACTATTAATCGTAAGGTTTTTTGTTATTGATATAAATGATTTTCCTAAAGAAACTTTAGGATATTATTTTTAAATCAAACACAAATGGTATGGTATCCAATTCGTATGATTGATATAATATATTTATGTGTATTTGTATTATTATGATCACCATGACTTTACTGATATGTATGTTTTGATATTAAATAGCATATTTTCAAATCCCTTTTGGAATACCTTTTATATATTTATTCTCAATGTATTGACATCCATTATTAATTCTCTGCCAACAGGAAGACGAAAGTGACGAAGAGGCAATTACAGCACAACCACAAGGTGGCCCGCAGAACAGCTCTGCGAATCAGCCCATTTTTGCCATGCCACCCACAACCATTGATGAAAATACTAACTTAAACAGCGGTACTGAAAGAGTGGTTTACACGACTGGTATTTTGAGTACATAAATAATAATGCATATTGTCTATCCGATCACCTTTTTTTGTGATTCAATTTTATCTTTAATTGTATAGCTCTCCTTTTATCCCTTTATGTTTTTTTTTAGCTTCATGCATTTAATTGAAACATATTATGGAGAAACATAATATGCAGCAAGCATAATATGGAGCAATGTAACCAACATATTGGTTTAATGATAATGTAGACATTAAGCGCTGTGTAATTTGACATTATTATAACTCCATTGATAATGTTGCAAATTCAAATGTTCAATTCCTAATGCCTTGGGTGTTAAATTGTAGGTTATTTAATTATATTTATTATAGATTTATCGAATTAGTGGGGAGAAAATAATAAATTAATTACAAGTGAGAAAAACTGAATCAAATTTTAAAGTTTAATGTTTTTTTTTTTGTCGTATACAACGACATATGTTATTTTCGAAATGAAAGTGTGATGGTCATATCTAATATTTTTATATAATACTATATAAATATAAATCGGTGATCGTAATTATAGGATTGCTAATAAAATTCGTGGTTTCATATCGCAAAGCAAAGTGTTAGTTGCATGTTTGAGAAAGTATTCATTTTTTATTTATTGTAATAAGTTCAATGAATCTCTGTACAAAGAAACACTGGGCTATAATCGTCTATATATAAATGTTTTCATGGTTTGCAGGATAAATGTGTTTTGTGAAGTATACATCGATTTCTGGTCTTAGTTTTTCATAGAAACTCTTTGAATAACATAAGTTCAAAGTAGTTCTCGCGTCAAGTATCTTGACTGCCACAACTTCTGAATCATTTGACGTGTGTGGGCGGAGTTTGCCAAAATACTTTGATATGATTTTTCGTATAACTGTAATTTTGTAATTTCCTTTTGATGAATTCTTCAACGATTTATTCAACACCCAGGGTTCCAAGTTCTCCGTTGCTATGAGGGATCTTATAAGAGTTCCCCTATTCTACATATAGCATTGGTTATCAACACTGAAAGTAGTCAGATTGAATTTGATCTAACTATGTCGTTTACTTGATAATTTAATATTCTTTACTAATAATTGATACTTGCGATTAGCTTTGTAGCCTAAACAATTAAGAATATAGATTTTGTATAAACTGACAGATTGTAGGTACATACTATGACGTTCCGATAAGGTGGTCTCATATTGCATGCATAATGTTTTTCTCTATACATTTTCTTCAAGTATGCCAGAATAGAGAAAATCTATAATATTTTCAAATGGTTCAATGGTAATGCTCCAACGGAGGGACCATAATATCCTTCTTTCTTGCATTTTATATATTTTTTGGAGAATATATATTTAACTTCCTCAAAATTGGTTCTCTGGTACTTTTAATGTTTTTTGTATTTCGAATTGCATTCTAATAGTCTGATGGTAACAATTGGTGATGATATACATATGTGTTTACACATTAAATGTGCTTTCTTCAACTGATCTTTGCAGATTATTTTAGTCTTTTATGATATTATTCGAATTCTTATTATTATCCTATAGGGTTTCTATAATTTTTCATGTCGAGGTTGTAATAGCATAACCTTTTTGTCTGTTTGGTAGTGTATGAATGTTTTAATGTTTTTACCTATACTTTGCAGTTTTTTGGGCATTGTTTAGCTAAATGTCGTAGATCTGAGCGGTCAGACGTTAAACTATATATGTAATCAGAATGCGTAATGATTGGCCGAATGGTGGATGCTGGAGAATCTTGTTTTTTTTCTGAGGATAAGATCGTATGGTGCATATTTTGTGCCCCCATGTATGTAGAAGAACATAGCTTGTGGCTGCAAAAACAATAAATATTGCTATTTATCCTGCAAAGTTTTGAGAAAATTTGTCTAGAGACGAGCACATATAGGCCAGGATACATAAATCTATTTACACGAGATTCATATGTTAGTATCTTAATTGTAACACTAGTTTCGTAGTAGAACTAAGTCAATATGTCATACATTTTGTCCCGTAATTACAAAATTTGATCTTCTTTAAAGAATAATATCACAACATTTTTCTTTGACCAGTTTGTAAGAAATTTTATTCTATTTTACAGTGTAGATTTGATTCTTTAGATTCATTATTTGGTGAACTCATAGAATATTATAAGCTGTATGTTTTCAAGCAGCTTTATCAGTATTATTAAGTTCATTTTTTAGTTACGTTAAAAAAACAAATAATCAAGAGCGACATAATGTAGATGAATAAGCCGATCCTATGTCTTTATTTTATAAAAAGTTATCGTAATACATATTATTTTGTCAGATTGTATTTTAGTAAATATTTGTTTCATTTTCACGGATACAATATTTTCTTTTATTTAAACAGTTATTCGCGTACTCACGATGCATATTTTAAATAATGCGCAAAAACAATCAATTTTCATGTTTATAAATTATTTTTTATTATTTAAAAATTGTCGCATGTATTATTAGTTACATAAAAATCCATGTAAAAATGCCTATGTAGTATAAACGTACATGGGCAAATCCACAGAACTTTTAGATTTGCAATTTGATGCATTTATTTAATGTTGTCTTCTGATATTTCAATATATTAACGATCATATGGACATTTTTAGTGGAAGGTATGATAAAGTTTGTAAGCTCTCTGAGAAGCCAGGAAGATGATACAAATTTTAATTTTTGTATTGCTTTGTGACTTTGTTAATTTTCAAATATTTTAAGAAAGTTATAAGAGCGCCCGCGCAAACGCCGTCAAATACAGTCGAGGACACAAATAGGGGGACAGTTTTTCAAAAAGTGGTAACTATGGGAGTTTTCAACCGATTTTCGTGAAACTTTGTCAGGAGTAGTTTTGAAGTGTCCTCTGGGTGTGTGCAAAGTTGCATTGATGCGAAGGGCTTAATTCACCCCCGTAAAGGGGATGGTGGAGAAAAACAGCAGTTCTGAATGGGCCAGGAGTGACGGAAGAGGTTAAAAAAAAAACCACTTAGGGCGACTCTTCTTGATGCCCTCTTCAGAATGCACCCCCTGAAATACCTTTCGGACAAACCCAACCTCTAATAACCCCCACACCCTCCAAAATCCACAATTTTTGGACGACAGTCCCGAATTTGGGCTCAATGCATTCCATGGAGTCCCCTGATCCAGGAAATGCCAACGCCCACGCCGTGCGCTTCATAGGCACTCCTTGGAGGGGCGGAATAGCTCACCATTTCTTAACCCCTTTCATGAAGGAGCACTTCCACACCCCGGAGGGTTCACTAGGTTCATTCTCGGTACGTTAGGGATCAATGTCGAAAAGATCCCGTTTCAAAAGCTGCCCCTGGAGCTGAACAGGGGTAGCCCAAAATTAGGGGTGATCTACCCTTAAGCGTGGGGGTTGAAACGTCCCCGCGCATGTCCCACGGTCCGGGGCACATCACCAAACACTGTTTTGATGTTTTTTCTCCACGTGGACAGTATTAACGAACGAAACGTTTTTTTGGAAAACCCACCCCCAAGTTTAGGCCCGTCTGTAGGGTGAACGAGTAACCCCACGTCAAAGCCGTTCGCGGATTTGGATGTGCAAGTGCTTCATTACCAGTTCCCTAACAAATCAGATTTTTTAAATCACGCTTTCGTTGGCAAATCGGGACAGATTTAACAGAGCAGCAAGTGCGTGGTCAGCCCGACCCTGAATCCAATAGAACATGGGTGGAACGAGTATTATTTGTTCTATTTTCAAAGTTTACGGAATTATCCTTTGTTTCTTCTTCAAAGTTTAATAAGTGTTGGGAAATTGCCCGTGTTCTGCGTAGTCTGAGTAAAATCCCACATCTTTGGTTTTGAACTGAACTTGTATTTATTATACACTGATGATTAGATTAAGTGAATACTGATTAAGAAGTCACACGAACATAAGCGGTGGTACAATAATATTTACACGGCTATTCTAGAGCCTCTACAAACTAAACTATAACGAACATGCTTTGAAATAATACTGTTTAATCGTTAGGGTGGTATGGGTACCTAGGTGTTGCAGGGAAGTCGCTGGATCAGGAACTTCGTTAGGTAAATCGAGATTTTGTGTAGAGTTAACAAAACTGTATATTCTTCATGAGTACAATTTAGAAATTACAAAGGGTAAAGTAGCAAACGCTGCGCAATAACTCTAAGCGTAATCCAGTCTTTCCCGAGTAACTCTTCGCTCCCTTGTGTGGATGGGATTAGACCGAATAGTTAGAGCACTCAGGTCGCTTCTTCCTAGCCTGTCCTAGCAGTCGAATTTTTGGAATTCTAAGAATTTGGCGTGCTGCAGCCCTTTTTATACCCGTTTTGGGCCTGGGCCCACGCGCTGTGACTGGAAGGGGTAGTCACGTGGTAGCAGCACGCGGCGGGGGTAGTTCTCACGGTGGGGGTGCTGCGCTTCACGCGGCAGCGGGATCGGGGTGCTACTCTGGCGACCAGAGTTTGAATAATAATCAATTACAATTTTTTAATTAAATAATTGATTTAAATAAACTTAATTCAATTATCTTAATTAATAAATGTTTTGAATAAATGTAATTAAAAATTATTTAATTAAAATTGAATTAGGCAGAGTTAATCGAAAGTCGTTTAATTGACAATTGATATGAGCGAATTTAATCGAAGATATTTAATTGACGATTGATATGAGCAAATTTAATCGAAGATATTTAATTGACGATTACTTTAAGGGGAATTAATTTAAAGCCATTTAATTGAGGATTACTTTAAGCATAATTAATTCAAGCTATTTAATTGACGATTTATTTATATCTTCAATGTTAAAAGACATTTATATATGTAGAAATAGAACTTTGAAAATCTATTCTTTACTGCATAACACGACAAATACACTAAATATCGGACAGAAAATGAAACAATTTCGTAACACAATATCGTAATCCGTAGACATAGCCGTGATCGTTATAATCGTTACTTGTGTTACGAGCCAGGGCGATAGCGACGCGCGTGTGAGCCCAGCGAGTGGGATAGATTTGAGAATTGAACCAATACGATTATTTATTGTGTATCAATGGTGCCGAAGATTTGAGGATAGATTAGACAATGCAGACGACTCTGACGCGAAGTCAGATAGCTGCTAGGAATCGGTGTCTCCCAGTAAAGGGTAACCGCAGGATAGGTTAAGTTTAGGAGTTCGGGTTGAGTACACAATGACTAAATCGTATTGGTGATTAATACTACGCGTCGCGGATAAAGCCTCGCAACTTGTTAATTTAATAGAATAATAACTCGAGCGGTAAAGTTATTATGTTGTGGGATCGTTACACTGGCTAGGATTGGTGATTTCAAAGTAAAGGTTTGATGATTGATCTTACAGACTTTTAAGTTTACACAAAGAGTATATATTCAAAATAACTATACTAATTACAAGTGTCCAGTGTCGTGTTGTCGCGGTTAGTGTATGAAGTTAAAATTACCTAAGTGTTGCGCGGTGTTGACGCACTGGCGATGCGGGGGTCGAGAGTACTTTTATGGCCGTAATAGATTCTAAAACCGTCTTCGCGGATCTATATGGTAACGATGATCGAAAGGAACTGAAGCCCGATCTCACTAGAGTACTACTCTGCAGACGATCAATGTGTCTCTAACGAGTAA